CTGTATCGACACGTTGAGGATATAAATAAGAAGAGTAAGTGTGGATAATTCTAGTTATTACACCAGTTCTCTTCTTTATCACTCTCTCCTCTTATTTCCTTTCTTTCTTTAAGGTTCTTGTACCCTTTGTTCCATCCCATACAAACGTGGGAGATAAATATGAGAGATAGAGAAATTGTTCAGAGATAATTGGGTATTAGTGTTCATATTTTCCTGTGTTTTGTGTTTGAATTATTATTATTATTATTATTATTATTATTATTATTATTATTATTATTATTTGGACTGTTGTTGTTACTGATGTTATTACAATTCCCCTTTGTTGCTTTGCTATGGGCGAGAGGGAGACGAGAAGGGAAGGATGATGGGAGAGATGGAATGATGTTGATGAGAAGAGGGAGGGAGAGGGTTGAGATAAAGAGGAGGGAGGGAAAGGGTCGAGAGAGGGAGAGAAAGAAAGGGTTTGAAGGAAGAGAAAATGTCTGAGGGCAGGAGAGAAGAGGAATGGAGGAAGAAGTGAAATGAGGAGAGGAGAATAGAGAGATTAAAAGGTAAAGGAGCAATTAAATGGATTAAATAAAGGAAGGGGCGAGTGTAGGGGAGACTGGCACTATGAGAGCTACCAGACTGGCATTAAGAGGAACAGGAAGCGAGTGTAACAGTGAGGGTCTTGTTGTGTGCCCTCCCTCACCTTCCCCCCACCCTTTCTCTAAGTCACCCTTACCCCCATTTCCCTACCCTTACCCTCTCCTCACCCCCACCATCCCCTCCCCTACCTCTCCCCCCTCGTCACTAGTTCTCCACCTCACTTCACAAGAATCATGATCTGAATTTTTTAAACGCAGTAAAAGATTTTTTTTTTAATTTTACCACATGCACCAGCTAGTTTATTGTGCAGCCTATACATATCCCCTGAATTGTTCCTACCTGTTGTATGGGGTTGTATTCTGTTCTTAATACAGGAAGGGATAAACACCTCAACAACTGTACATTTTATCCTTAACAATACAACGACAAAATACAACTCAATGTATTCGTGTATTTGTGTATAAATTAAGGGAAAATATATGAACACTTGTTTGGCAGGATAACGCCTTACTGTCATAGCATTAACCACTAATATGACAGGATAACGCCCCACTGTCATAGCATTAACCACTAATATGACAGGATAACGCCTCACTGTCATAGCATTAACTACTAATATGACAGGATAACGCCTCTGTCATAGCATTAACTACTAATATGACAGGATAACGCCTCACTGTCATAGCATTAACCACTAATATGACAGGATAACGCCTCACTGTCATAGCATTAACCACTAGTATGACAGGATAACGCCTCACTGTCATAGCATTAACCACTAATATGACAGGATAACGCCCTGGTGTCATAGCATTAACCACTTCAATATGACAGGATAACGCCCTCACCGCCGCAGCTTTTAACCACTAGTTGGCGACAGGATAACGCCCCACCGCTACAGCATTAACCACCAGTATGACAGGATAACGCCTACCTGCCGCAGCGGTTGCATTCACTAATATGACAGGATAACGCCTCACCGTCATCATAGCTTTAACCACTAATACATTATGGATAAACGCCTTCCTACTCGCTATAAGCATTAACCACCAGCGACAGCATAACGCCTCACCGTCATAGGCAAGCATTAACCACTAATATGACAGGATAACGCCTCACTGTCATAGCATTAACCACTAATATGACAGGATAACGCCCCACTATCATAGCATTAACCACTAATATGACAGGATAACGCCCCACTATCATAGCATTAACCACTAATATGACAGGATAACGCCTCACTGTCATACCATTAACCACTAATATGACAGGATAACGTCTCACTGTCATAGCTTTAACCACTAATATGACAGGATAACGCCTCACTGTCATAGCATTAACCACTAATATGACAGGATAACGCCTCACTGTCATAGCATTAACCACTAATATGACAGGATAACGTCTCACTGTCATAGCATTAACCACTAATATGACAGGATAACGTCTCACTGTCATAGCATTAACCACTAATATGATAGGATAACGCCTCACTGTCATAGCATTAACCACTAATATGACAGGATAACGTCTCACTGTCATAGCATTAACCACTAATATGACAGGATAACGCCCCACCGAAGCAGCGTTATACGCAAACCACTAGTATGACAGGATACGCCTCACCGTCACAGCATTATCCGCTAATATGACAGGATAACGCCTCACCGTCATAGCATTATCCACCTTTTCACTATGACAGATAACGCCTCACTGTCATAGCTTTAACCACTATTGGCGACAGGATAACGCCTCACTGTCAGTAGCTTTAACCACTACGCGACAGGATAACGCCTCACCGTCATAGTATTAACCACTCAATATGACAGGATAACGCCTCACTGTCATAGCTTTAACCATCAATATGACAGGATAACGCCCCACTGCCATAGCATACAATCCACTAGTATGACAGGATAACGCCTCACTGTCATAGCTTTTAACCATCAATATGACAGGATAACGCCCACCGCCAGTAGTATTAACCATCAGTATGGACAGGATAACGCCTACTGTCATAGCATTAACCACTTCACACATGACAGGACAACGCCTCACCGTCATGGCATTAACCACTATGACAGGATAACGCCTCACTGTCATAGTATTTAACCACTAATATGACAGGATAACGCCCCGGTGTCATAGCATTAACCACTTCATAAATGTTCACTCATTCTAAAATATAATTGACCAAGGGCATGTAATGTGTATGTGTGTTACTCCGAGCTAGTGTGTTCCCATTACATAAATTACATTGACTGTAATTAAACTACAGCTATTGGTAATTCTTTCTTATCTTTCAAATTACAGTAAATTGGCTACAAAGTTTACAGTAACATTTATGTATTAATTTTATTTATATTATTATTATTATTATTATTATTATTATTATTATTATTATTGTTATTTTTGTTGTTGTAATTAAAATTCATTCATATCTCCAACAGTATACCATCCTCCCCCACTACCTCCAACACTCTCCCCAACAACACCAGATACTTACTCAATGTTCTTTATGGAGATCTTGGCTGGCATGTTGTTACTGAGGGCGTGTTGCTGAATATGAAGGGCGGCCAGACGCAACGCCACATCATACTTCAGCTCGGGGGAGAACCTCTCTTGAATCACGTCGTTACAGCACTGTGGGAGGAGCAGGCGAAGGTTGGAACACAAGGTTTAGTGTGGGTGGGGAAGCGAAGGGAGGAGATTTCTTTGTGTTTGAGGAGAGAAAGGGATTAAAACCTAACCCTTTTTTTTGGATTTTGAATCTATTATTAAAACCTAGTCAAGTTGTTTATTGGTTTGATTTCTATTAGCTAAGTTTGTTTTAGATTTAGGTAATACTTTTGTTTATCTAGATAATTTGTGTTACTCTCAGGTAATTAATTTACTTGGTACTTAGTTTCATTTAATTTCAGGTAATCTAATTAACCTACCTAATAGCACAACAAATTTTATCACACCTTCTTGTATTCATAGTTTCCTTTACATCCTAAACCTTAATTAATACCAGGTTATGTTAATGCTCAGTGTACACTCGCTTGCAATTATACCTGGCACATCAATTGGCGTGTTTTGTGAGATGTGGCACCACTGTCTTTGTTGATGTGGCACCACTGTCTTTGTTTACATCATGTTCAAAACTCCCCGAATGATCCTAAACAACTTCACAATAGAAGCCAGACTTAATGATGCTAGATAATCATTCCTACAGCATTGCCACATATCATAAAACACACCACATACTGTACCAGGCGTAACTGTAGCCAACTGTACCTTACCTCAGTTTAAACACCTACAGACAAACTACTGAACCCTATCTTGTTGATGATAGGTCAAACATCTTTTATTATTTACTGTTTATATAAATTCCAAAATAAATAATGTAAATAACTAAATGAATATAAATTAAGTTTGTGTAATGTATATAAATTCGATTAAGTTTATGTAATTTGTAGATATATAAACTGGGTAAATTTACAGTGGGATGAATATAGGGAATAGAACCCATTAGGTGGTAAGTATGGCATGAGACCTAAGTATGTATATAGAGAATAGAACCCCATAAAACCCAACAGAACCCAGACATCATCAAATTTATAACAGGGAAAGTGTGTCAAACGGGAGCTTCAACAGAGATAAACAGGAGTTTCAGAGGTAAACAGTGTGTGCAGTAAACAGGAACTTCAACAGATAAACAGTGTGTGCAGTAAACAGAGGTAAACAATATATAAAATGAGACGTAGAAGGAGTTACTGAAGGGAGCTGAAGTTCTCCTCGACCACCACCTGCGGCCACGGGAGGGAGACACTACCTAAACTACTAAGAAGGTTTAGCTCAAGAAAACATCATTCACAAGCAATACTTTATTCAGCATGCTTACGTTTACAACCACTAACAACCACTAACAACCATTTAACAACCATCTAACAACCATTTTCTCTACTAATGTAAATATATATAAAAAAAACTATTTAATTTATCTACAAAAATTGAGACCTTTGCTTGTTGGCCTGAGTTAAAAATATATTTACAGTATTTAAAAAATTCAATTATGGCTAAATATTTTTTTTTCATTTTTTCACAGTTCCACCTTCTACGGGAAAAAAAATTGGCACATGGAATATTCTGAACTGAGGAGCTCAAGTTGGTGGGGGGGGGGGGGCTGAAGAATTCTTACTTCGGCAGGAGACGCCTCAACAACTTCCACAGGAGATTCCACCGGAGGTATTTCTTGACAATCTTTCTCACTTGTGTCAGCAGCTTCCTCACCAGACGCCACCTCATCAAGGCTTTACCCAACACTTTCAACTTGTTCAGGTGTTTCATGATCAACTCAAGATTCCTGAGTATAAGAGCCACTACCTTGAGTCTCAGAGCCCATTTACCTAGAGTCTTTAACTTAGCTAAGAGATACAGGAGGAACCGTAGCTGATAGAGAAGCTGTAGGAGCCTCCGGTAGTTCCACACCCACATACCTACCCCTCTCCAGGTGGGTTTCCTAAATAGGGCTATACCTGTAGCTGCTACGGGATATAGGTATTGGATAGGTCCTGCGTATACAGGTGTGGGGAGACTTAATGACCCTAGCTGCTCTACCTGAGGGGAGGTGACGTACAGAAGGGCACGTGACCAGAGGAAAGAAGGGCATGCATGATCCAAGGCGGCAAAGGGCACTACTGAAGGGCAAGAGGAGTTACCGTCTACAGGAATATCATCTACTGAGGCTGTATAAATGTCCGAGATGTTTGCATAATCATCCCATTTCCAACCACGACCCAGAACAGAAGGTGCAGTGCCGAGGGTTGTCCCCCACCAGGAGAGGTCCCCGTGGTGGCTGGGTGCACGAGAGGAGGAGGAAGAAGAGGACAAAGAGCAAAGCCTTGTTGACATGGTCCTTCCGGGGAAGGTGAACGGGAGGAGGAGGAGGAGGAGGAGGGGGCTTCCTGACGAGGCACGAGGCTTAGCGAAGGAAGTGATGCCCCAAGTGAGTGGAGGTTTTACCTGGAGATAGAGGTACTCGAAGGCCATGGAGTCCTTCCTGAGGAGGTCGTAGGAGTCGCGAGGCACAAACGTCACGCGGTAGAGACATCTCAAGTGTTGGGCACCAGGCCGGGCGGCGATCTGGGGGTAACACAATACATTAATTCATTTTGTACAAGAAAAAAAAATGTCAATAAAATTCATACACAACTAAAAACATTATGAATAAAGTTAAAGATAAGAAAACATTACCCCCCATAATTAATGTATTAAAATAAATAAACAAACAGAATCGGGACATATTATATTGTTCTGGGTGATGAAAGATGACATTATGAACACCCCCAAAGAGATGATGAAGAGTGTCGTAGTTATACCCTAGAGAGAACTTACAACAAACCCAAAATAACACCGTAGTTACCCTAGAGACCACCTATAACCCCCCACCCAAAACAAGAAGAAGGTCATAGTTACCCTAGATAGCGCCTCCTTAGGGTCGAGGATAGTTAGCTTGTTCCTCCGAAGACTCTTAACGTGCTCCACAACCAGAGAGAAATGTTCCGAGCATTTAATACCCAGCTTCTGATGTAGGGAGTCCAGCACGTCGCCTACAGTAGTACTTGAGTCATACTTGAACGATTTGGTCTGGCCGTTTTCGAGGAACACTTTGAGGACGTTGGGCATGAAGGGCGTAGTGGACTCGCTCGTGTTAAAGTTGGACGGCTGTGAGGAGAACTTTAAGCCAATTAATTCAATATATAAACTCGGCAAGTGTGAGTGTTGGCATCATGGCACTGTATATGGCACCATGTCACTGTATCTGGCACCATGGCACTGTTTATGGCACCATGGCACTGTATATGGCACCATGGCACTGAGTATACTCCTTAGTATGTAACAGGCTATATCATTCACAAGCATCATATCATATAAACTAACCAACTCACTATACAAATTTATATGACACTATACAAATTATATCATTAATATTAACACAATACAAACGATGATGTTTATACATATAAATTATAGCTTAATTAATAACACATCACCATTCACCTGTACCTGTATATGCAAATTACCTCTCCCGTGTACCTGCATATGCAAATTAATCAAGTGTACCTGTATATGCAAATTAACCAAGTGTACCTGTATATGCAAATGAACCAAATGTATCTGTATATGCAAATGAACCAAGTGTATCTGTACATGCAAATGAACCAAATGTATCTGTATATGCAAATTAATCAAGTGTACCTGTATATGCAAATTAACCAAGTGTACCTGTATATGCAAATGAACCAAATGTATCTGTATATGCAAATGAACCAAGTGTATCTGTACATGCAAATGAACCAAATGTATCTGTATATGCAAATGAACCAAGTGTACCTGTATATGCAAATTAGCTACAGTTCATCACTACAGGACGCCCAGAGACTTACAGAGTAGGAAGGCGAGCCGTTGATGTCAACACTCTCGGCAAACCTCACCCTCGAGGGGTTGGACTTGAGGCGCTGCTTCTTGGCGGCGCTCAACAAGGCTGACTTCCTCGCTGACTGTTGGAGGACGAGCGGTTGGAGAGAGGGAGGGGGAGGGGGGAGAGGGGAGAGAGAGGGAGGAGAGAGGGAGAGGGGGGAGGGAGAGAGGAGGGAGGAGGGGAGGGAGGGAGGGAGGAGGGAGGGGAGGAGGGAGGGGAGAGAGAGGGAGAAAATTAGCTAAAAAATACATCCTCTTCTTTAACTACCTACAGTAAGTATCTTCTTTAAATATACATACATACATACATACATACATACATACACACATACATTACTACACATTACTACACATTAACTCAGAAAGTTTTAATTAATGGGATAATGTTCGCTGCAGTGACTATGCCTTTTATAAAACAGTTTAAGGACATCCAGGCTTGTGTGGGCGTGTTAGAGGCGTGTGTGGGCGTGTTAGAGGCGTGTGTGGGCGTGTTAGAGGCGTGTGTGGGCGTGTTAGAGGCGAGAGTGGGCTTGTTGGCATGCGTGTGAGCGTGTTAGAGGCGTGTGTGTGGGCGTGTTAGAGGCGTGGGCGTGTTAGGAGGTGTGGGCGTGTTAGAGGCGTGTGGGGCGTGTTAGAGGCGTGGGGCGTACAGGAGGCGTGTGGTGTTAGAGGCGTGTGGGGAGGTATGCAAGGAGGCGTGTGAGGGCGTGTTAGAGGCGTGTGTGGGCGTGTTAGAGGCGTGTGTGGGGTGTATTAGAGGTGTGTGGGGTGTGTTAGAGGCGAGAGGGCTTGTTGGCATGCGTGTGTGTATATATGTGTGTGTGTGTGGGCGTGTAGGCGAGGCAGCAGGTGGAGGGAGACGCACCAACGTATTAAGTAGTTAGGGACACAATGACACCGTTGCCAATAAAAGTTGGAGAACCTGGGGCCAAGTTTTCTCATTAGTGGTCAATAAATCTGTCTGGCAACACTGTCTTCTCTCGGGTGTTTTGGGAAAGGTGCGGGGGTACAGGTGTGGAGGTACAGGTGTGGAGGTACAGGTGTGTGGTGGATATTACAGGTGTGGTGGATATTACAGGTGTGGGGGATATTAAAGGGGGAGGTACAGGCAGTGGGATATTACAGGTGTGGTGATATTACAGGTGTGGGTATATTAAAGGTGTGGAGGTACAGAAAAGGACAATTACAGGTGTGGGGGCAGGTGGATATTACAGGTGTGGAGGTACAGGTGCAGTGGATATTACAGGTGGGGATATTATAGGTGGGGGATATTATAGGTGGGGATATAGGTGGAAGGAAAAGAAAGAAAGAAAAATGAAAGAAAGAAAGAAAAATGAAAAGAAAGAAAGAAAGAAAGAAAGAGAGATACGTATCATCATTTCCTGTGTTAGTTCCGCTCATATCTCGGCGCGATAACACATACTAACGTGACACACAACCTGTTGATAAAGTTGGTCGCGGGTGGGTGGGGTGGGGAGGGCACGGGTGGGGTAGGGAGTTGAGGGGTGGGGGAGGGGGTTGAGTGGGTGGGGAGGGGCTGAGTGGGTGGGGGGGAGGGGGTTGAGTGGGTGGGGGGAGGGGGTTGGAGGGGTGGGGGAGGGGTTGAGGGCAGAGGGGTTGAGGGTGAGGGAGGGGGTTGGAGTGGGTGGGGAGGGGTTGAGGGGTAAGAGGGGTTGAGTGGGTGGGGGGAGGGGGTTGAGTGGGTGGGGGAGGGGGTTGAGTGGGTGGGGGAGGGAGTTGAGTGGGTGGGCGGGTGGGTGAAGTGAAAGAGGGGAGTGGGTGGCGTGTGGGAGGTGTAAGGTGGCGTGTGGAATGGGAGTGGGTGGAGTGGGCGCCAGGGAGGAGCTACCCACTAGTCCTCTCGTTACTATCCCACTCACTGTCAACTACCACCCCACTCAAGAGAGAGAGAGAGAGAGAGAGAGAGAGAGAGAGAGAGAGAGAGAGAGATTATATTTACCCCTACCTAAGTAACGCCCAACAGGTGTTACACAGCCCTAATTACATCCACCTGTCCACCTCAGAGCCTTTAAGTATTGCCAAAACAGACCTAACCTAACCTAACCTAACCTCCTTGTGTCACCTGCTACTTGTCTGTACATCCTTCTTCCTTCCTTCAACTCCTCCTTCTCCTCCTTCTCCCTTCCATCCTCTTTCTTCCTCCTCTTTTTTCCCTCCTCCTCGGTACCTCCATTAATTGAGGGTTGTTTTAGAATTTACGAGGTAGTTTTATCTATGTGAGTTACCAGTGGCCGATTCCTCCTTACTGTCGGAGGAAGAGGAGGAGGAGGAGGAGGAGGAAAGAGGAAGAATGAAAAAGAGGAAAGAGGAAGAAGAGGAAAGAGGAAGAAGAGGAAAAAGGAAGAGGAGGTTTTTACCCCCACGAAGGAAAAAAAATCCCCATATCTAATTTGGTCACACACACACACACACACACAGACGCGTCCTGGAGATGTCAAACCTAACTTAACCACATACTTTACCTCACAATTATCCAACAGACATTATCCACACACTTTAACTCACATTATCCATCCAACAGACTTTATCCACACACTTCACATAATCCAGCCTACTCCTATCCACACACACCCTCACATTATCCAACAGGCATTATCCACACACTTTACCTCACATTATCCAACCCACTTTATCCACACACCCTCACATTATCCAACCCACTTTATCCACACACCCTCACATTATCCAAAAGGTCATCTGAACATTGAGAGAGACTTTAACCCTTATCCCTTAACCCCAAACCAAGGGACTTACATTATCCAGGGGAGGCTGAGTAACAGTAAGCTGGACCTTATCCTTACACGACCTCACGAGCTGGATAACGTGGTCGCGGGGAGCCTTCTTCACGTCCTCCCCGTTAATCATGAGGATTTGGTCACCCGGGAGGAGCTTCTCTTCGCTGGGGCCTCCCTCTGTCACGAACCTAAGACGGGAAGAGACGGGAGGAGAGGGCGAGTGAGTTCGATTTAGACAGAGAATCAATGTTTGTTTAGTAATGTTATCGTCTGTCTGTCTGTCTGTCTGTCTGTTATGAATGTGAGACGGGAGGAGGAAGAGGGAAAAGGAATAGGGGGGAGAGAGTAAGAGAAGGATGGGGAGGAGGAAGGGGAGATAGAGGGGGAAGGAGAGGAAGGGGAAGAGGAGGGAGCTGGGGATGAAGGAGTAGGAAGAAGAAGAGTTTATAAATATTACAACACCTTAGTTTGAGAAAGTCAGGTGAGAAGTATCAGGTTAATTAAGCACATTTGGGTACAGTCTAAGTACAGTTTCAGGTGTAATATAACATGTACAGTAATTTTCAGGTGGTGGCATCATTATATTACATAATCTAATCTAACCTAACCTAAGCTAAGCTAACCTAACCTAAGCTAACCTGACCTAACCTAACATAACCTAACCTAACCTAATCTAACCTAACCTAACCTAACCTGACCTAACCTGACATAACCTAACCTGTCATTGTACTGAAACGTTTATATCATAGTGCTGCTGATTGGCTGATTACCTGGGTGTTATGTAACGATGTTCCTCATTGGCTGAGACGATTTAACCTTGTAAACGACGTCCCTACCCGACCACCACACACGCTGATTGCTTGAGCGAATCGTTTGACCCGCTAATGAACTATCACCAAGTCATTACCGCTTGATATAACCCTGTTGACCATTTTCCCAACAAACACACACACACCGACCTCCTCACCTTCACTACACCATCCATCACCTGAATTATGCAAATGAGATGGATATTACAGGTGTGGATTTTGGGGGAATGTCAGGAGATTACCGCTACACGCTCGGGGGTAAACAGCGGTGGGTGGGTGGGTGAGTGAGTGATTGAGTGGGTGGGTGAGTGGGTGGGTGGGTGGGTGGTGGGTGGAGTGATTGAATGAGTGGGTGGGTGGGTGGGTGATTGAGTGGGTGGTGGGTGGGTGGGTGGGTGATTGGGTGGGTGGGTGGGTTGGGTGAGTGATTGAGTGGGTGGGTGGGTGGGTTACTGAAGCCCACCAACAACATCTCTCTCCGGCAAATTTTCACCAGCCTCTTCACTGTTTACTCTACCACAACCCACCACACAAGGGGGGCCCCTCACACACCCTACCACACAAGGGGGGGGGCCTCACCTCCTTCTCTCTCCACACAAACAAACTAACTGAGCTCTATACACTACAGGCCATGAGAACCAGACCATCCCAGTGACCTCCCCATCCCCTCACCCCCTCCAACCCCCCCCCCTCCCCCCACCCCTCCCCCCAACCCCCCCCCCTCCCCCCACCCCTCACCCCCCAAGGCCCAGATCAAGTATAACGTCTCGTAATATACACATAAAGTGAGTATACATTTATACACACACACAACCCTCGTAACTATCCAACATACTGGATATACATAAAGGAATATCAGCTTAGTATACATGTATTAATATTCTACCATCAATATACATATATACCCTTATACACCTATAATCTATGTATATTCTCACTATTATACCAAAACCGTCTTTAATATATACCAAACATTATACACCACGTCTATAAACTCATCTGTAATCACTATAATAATACAGAAAACGTATGATCTATTGAATTATACACCATCTACCACTACCCATCAACTCTGTACCGTAGATTGACCAAACACATCATCATGGTTGAGATTGAAAGCTCCCTGGGGACGATGGTATTTAATTATGCATCTTTACTACACACAGAGTTGAGATCTTTTCCGTCAAACTCACACAAGACAAGAGACAGCTCGTGTGTGTGTGTGTGTGTGTGTGTGTGTGTGCGTGTGCGTGTGCGTGTGTGTGTGTACCCCTCTAAAATGGACCTCCTCCCCCCCTGTTTACATTAAGACGACCCCTCCGTCCCCCCCCCCCATACTGCCTTGGTGGGGTGCTGGTGACCGAAGCTTGATGTCAGGGGAGAAAGTGGGGAGATAACTCTTGGGTGATAGAAGGGGAGAGGGGAGAGATAATGGGGAGAAGGATGAGGGGGAGAGGTGGGTGAAGAGGAAGAGAGGAAGAGAAGAAAGGTAGAGAGAAGGAAAGAGGTAAATGGAAGGAGAAAGGGAGTGGATGAAGAAGGAGACAGAGTAAATGGAGAAGGAGGAGAGAAATGAACACTGATAAGAGAAAAGAGGAAATAAAGGAGACAGCGATTGGATTAGGGAGATAAAAAGACGAACGGAGAAGAGGGGGAATAAGAGGAAGAGGAGGAGGAGGAGGAAGAGAAGAGCAGAAGTGAGGAGGAGGAGGAACGTAGAGGCAGTTACTAAACACTCTGTCACAATTTATGACACCACCACAACGTATGACACCACCACAGCGTATGACACCACCACCACAAAATGCCATCACATGACAATTCCCTTCACTTAAACAGAGATGACATGACGGTGATTAGCTTAAGATATATACTAGCATCATGCACAGTGCCACAGATAACGATGAAGAATGAGTGCCAGTGAAGGGGTGTGTGTGGCACCTGGCACTCTAGCTGGTGACAGTTGGCGGCATCACACCCAAAACAAACACACACACACACACACACCTACCGCCCACTGCAGACACCACCCACTACACCCACCACACACTACACCCACCACGCACTACACCCTACACCCTTCACACCCATCAAATTCTACTCACACCCACTATGGTCCATATCCACCACCCACAACTCTCCACCCACCCCCACACCCCCTCATCAAGTCTCTATCCTCACTACTTGCTCTTGACACCCTCAGCTTAACTTGTCACGCACTTGTCTCAGGAGCCAGACACAAATAAGCTTGCCTTGTTGATCGGGGGTGTCAAGATCAAGCTGTTATGGATCCCCTCTCACATAGGCAACAGGACAAGAGTTGATGCCCTCGCCAAACTCACGTCAAACAATAATACAGTTTAATATAATCTGGGTCTGTCAAAAGAGGTATTTATAACCCTCTACACCCACACATACACCCAGTCTATCAACACCTACCACCCCACACCCACTATCATCTACTCCACACCATCTACACCCAGCCATCCTCTACACCACACCCACCTACACCCACTCGTCCTGGTCTCGGCATTACCCTCAAGACACACGACCGACAGAGGGCCTCCAGTTATGCATTTAGAGTGTGACTTAACTTCCACCCCTCTGAGGCCCTCTGCTGACACACCCTTGCAAGTTATTGGTCACAAAACTGCCAGGTAAAATCTTCTCCATCTCCTTGGGCCATTTAGTGGGTCCTTGGGCCATGTAGTGGGTCATTGGTCCATTTTAGTGGGTCCTTGGGCCATTTTAGCGGGTCATTGGGCCATTTTAGTGGGTCATTGGGCCATTTTAGCGGGTCATTGGGCCATTTTAGTGGGTCATTGGGCCATTTTAGCGGGTCATTGGGCCATTTAGTGGGTCATTGGGCCATTTTAGCGGGTCATTGGGCCATTTTAGTGGATCCTTGGGCCATTTAATATCTGTCTTATCATCTGGTTTCATAAGTCATTTAAGACAGACAGACACAGACAGACAGACAGACAGACAGACACACACACACCAGACAGCTACGTGCCACTTGTCATCAAATTTTATAACACATCGACCTCCAATATGTCAATGCATTGTTCTTGTTATTTTTTTTTTCACTGTTAAATCAACGCCGGGAAATATCACTGCCACGTCTGTTATCGGGTGACGGAGGAAAGTGAGTCACAGCCGCGTGTTATGGCCCCCACAAGTCATGACCCGAGTTTAGAGAATTGAATGAGGATTTTTCCCCCAGTATTTGGTCTTTTTTTCTTAGAATTTTTAACCTTTTCCCAATTTTTTTTCAGCATTTTCCCTAGCATTTGAAGCCTGTTTCCCTAACCCTTTGAGTATGATGATTTAACCCCCTTGAGTACGATGACTGAATCCCTTGAGTACGATGACTGAATCCCTTGAGTACGATGACTGAATCCCTTGAGTACGATGACTGAATCCCTTGAGTACGATGACTGAATCCCTTGAGTGTTCAATCGTCATACTCAAGGGATTAAGGCATCATACCCAACCAAACCGAACCCAACACAACCCAACCGAACCCAACCCAACACAACCCAACCCAACCCAATACAACCCAACCCAATACAACCAACCCAACCTAAATACAACCCAACCCAACACAACCCAACCGAACCCAAACCCAACACAACCCAACCCAATACAACCCAACGCAACACAACACAAACCCAACCAACCCAACACAAACCAACCCAACCCAACACAACCAACCCAACCCAACACAACCCAACCCAACCCAACACAACCCAACCTAACACAACCCAACCGAACCCAACCCAACACAACCCAACCCAACACAACCCAACGCAACACAACACAACACAACCCAACCCAACCCAATATTAAACCCAACCCAACCGAACCCAACCCAACCCAACCCAACCAAACCGAACCCAACACAACCGAACCGAACCCAACCCAACCGAACCCAACCCAACCCAACCCAACCAAACCGAACCCAACACCCAACCCAACACAACCGAACCGAACCCAACACAACCCAACGCAACTAACAACCCAAGACAAGAGGCTCAAGAGGCTCAACTAACGAGACACTTCCTGCAATAAGAACAACAGGATCTGATCTTGTGTCGTGTCGCTGTTTCGACTTACGACCAAATAGTGAATGAATGATCCACACTTGATAATAATTGCCTCCCTGACGTTGCAACACACAGGAGATTGCAACACATGACTGAACAGCTCTTAGTATTGCAAATCTTAACAGGGCGACTCTTGATAGTACAGTATTTACAATTGGAACTTCATATATTGGAGACTTTATTGCAACTTGATATCACAGTACTTAACATAGCAACTTGGTATATTGCAGAGCTTATTGCAACTTGATATTACGTACAGTATTTAACATT